GACAAAAATACCCCAGCGGAGGTTACGCGGCCGCAATCCTGCTTTAGCGGCCGCGTAATTCTGACCGCGGTCCGCGTTCTTCACTTCTGGATGCTTGTTTCACGGACCGCGTAATTTCCATCGCGGTAGCGTAGGAGACATCCGCAGCCGCATAATCGTGATGCGGACCGCACTTCTTGTTTTTGCTTAAAATGTAAGCTCTCTAAACTTCAGCAACCGCGGTCCGCGTAATTCTAATCGCGGTCGCGCATGGACTTTTGCAGCCGCACCTTTTTGACGCGGTCCGCGTTCATGTTTTAGCCAAACAATCCATCTCTCTAAATCTTCCTTTCGCGGACCTCAAAATAGTGCTCGCGATCGTGTTGTAGCTTTCATGGCCGCACAATATTTGTGCGGTCCGCGTTTCACATCTTTTGGTCCAATCTTTGTTTTTGTTCAAGTTTTGACTCCTTTATGAGTTGATTATGACTCCTTTGGCTCATTTTGAACAATCCCTGCAAGCAAGCATATTACATTAGTTTTCGGGAATACCTTCACGCATTTTTGGCCCTAAACACAAGTAAAAGAGAGCAAATAACATGTTAAAATCCCTACTTATCAGCATCCACCGCCTCTTCAACGGTCTCTTCGCCCCGAGGTAAAGTATCTTCGGTTTCCCTCGGCTCGAGAACTTGGGCCGGAGTCTCCTTCTCGACCTCATTGAGCCTAGACGGAGCAGTATCAACTCCCACCGGTTCCGAAGTTTGCTGAATATCGGTGCTAGCTCGTGTACGAGCCACCAGCCCGGAATCACCTTCTTCTTCTTCTTCTTCTTCTTCATCCCTTAGTCTTTGGACTAACTCCATAGTTAGTGGGATTGTGTTCCCCTTGGGTTTACGGGCCGCTCTCTTCTTGGGTTTTTGACCCTCAGAGTTCGGGGCCTTTTTTCTCTTAATCACCTTTGCCAGTTTCGAGATAGGCGGTAAAGCTTCTTCATCACCGGACAGGGGTCTCATAGTCGCATCCTTTCCGAGACCTACAAAAGGAGAAAGTAAGTAAACTCATGTTTGAAAAAATGCTTGAATGATAGGCAAATCGATAAGCCAAGAAGAAGGCTTACCATGAGTACGAGCCTCCCACCGGCCCTTTGACAAATCGCGCCACACGCGCTCGGCGTATGTTCTCGAGGTGGGGAACCGCACTCGACATCCAAGCAACGACTGCATCGAGAAGAACACTGATAATAAAGGATGAATAAGCAAACAACAAATGGAAATTAAAGACGGAATCATACTTACGTTTCATATTCCATTTCTTAGGAAATGGCATGCTTTCAGCCGGGATTAGATCCGTGGTCTTCACCCGAACGAACTGGCCCATCCAGGCCCGATCTTTGTCTTTATCTATACTCGAGGTGAACGCCTTGGTGGCTCGGCGTTGAAGCTTTATTAGCCCACCTCGGTAGAGTCGAGGGCTATATAATCTTACGAGGTGGTCAAGGGTGAAGGGAAGCCCGTCGATTTTTCTCACAAAGAAACAAAGCAATATAATGATCCTCGAGAAAGAAGGGTGAATTTGTCCAAGGGTCACCTGGTATTTCTTGCAGAAGTCGACGATGACCGGATTGAGGGGACCCAGCGTGAAAGGATAAGTATAAACACTCAGGAACCTTTCCACATGGGTGGTGATCGCTTCCTCCGGTGCCGGTATCACAACCTCTTTGTTTTCCCAGTTGCAATCTTTCTTCACCAGGTCAAGGAGGCTTTTGGATATCGAACATATATATCTCGATATTGGCTCGCATTGACCAGTAACCAATGAGGGTTTCTCGACCTTAAAGTCGGAATCAATAACACACACACCGGGAATAAGTTCTTCAAGGCGTAGCTCCACCACTGGTTTCACGCCGGCCGACCGAGATGAGGAAGCAGTCTCTTTCTGTGGAACAGTTTTAGATATTTTGGCCATTTAGTTTTTGTGGACAAAGAAGAATAGAGATTGAAATATTTGGTGTTTTAGGAAGAACAAGAAAAGAAATTCAAAAACCTCGAGATAGGAAGCTTTGGAGAAGGCAAAGAACTATGAAGATTAGAATGAAAAAGATTTGAAAGTAAAAGTTTGAAATAATGAATAAGGGGGTTATTTATCGATTTCACAATGACGGTTCAAAACTGGTAGTAGCCGACCATCGACTGACGCGCGTTTAATGCCTTGGTAACTGGACCGACGGGACGTTCGTCGCATACATCACCATCGGGCTCGTCGCTGATGTCATTGCCCATCTAGTCGGAGTTCGAAAATTTATATCGTTTCTCGTTATCTCCTTTCCGAGAAACGAGGGGACTATCTGTATACGATCAAAATCGAGTTTGCCCTTCGAGATTGGAACATGAAGGATCGAGATTCATCATTATGATATCGAGCCATAATGCGAAGCTTGATTGTCGAATTCGAGCCCCAGAAACTAATTCAGATCGAGATCGGTCAAGATCGAGCTCGAGACATCGAGGTCGAATAAATAGAGATCGGCCAAGATCGAGCTCGAGCCCCAGAAACTAATCAAGACCGAGATCGGCCAAGATCGAGATCGAGCCAAGAAACAAAAAAGCCGTTATAGTCGCTATTAGGGGGAGAATCTCGGCGGAAATCACGACACAAATCAAGGAGAAACTAATTAATTAATCTATCATGGGATCTCCACTATGTATTTTTAATTATATCCAAAATAGGATTTTTCCACTATATTAAGGATTGTGATCATTTGTAAAAGGCATCAGATTCACTGAGATTTACGGAACATCAAGCAAATACTATTCTTTTTTGGGCTTTGATAGTGATTCATATTGTTCTCTTATCAATCACTCTGCATTCAATTTGGGTTTGTATTTATTTCTTTTACAGCTAATTTCGATATTCATTTACTTATTTTTCCAATTTGTACCAAGTTATACCACTTATCCTTAGAACTGCGTATAAATTCAATTGTTATCCGTTTTTCGGGTAAACAAGAGCGTTTCTTTCTAAATAAATTCTACGCAATAAAAATTTGGTTGTGTCATGCTAGTAGATTGCGGATACTATACAACTATATCAAAAAAGAAAAAGCTCTACCAAATTCCAGGTCTTGGAAAGGCCTCTCAATTAAGCAGCAGTAAGAGAAAAAGTAAAAAAAAAAATTAAGAAAGAAAAGGTAAAAACAGAAATAGTAATTTCGATTAGAAATTCTAATACTAATCTTATAATCTAGTAGTATTGATGAAAACTTTTCTAGCAATATGTGCGGGTTTTTCTTATTATCTACCTTCCTTTATCTCCCGTATTATAGGAAAAAGTTCAAAATAGAACCTCTAATTGTTTGCTTTAGTTTGTAAAAGGTCGTCCAGTTTGGTGGATTGAAAGAAAAGCCAAGTAGAGTTAGTACACATTCCTCCATTTTTACTTCACCTCCTTTCTTTTTTTGTGACCCCCCCGCCCTCCCTTTGATTTCCCTTCCCACATTACATATTCTTAACATGTCCTGATTTCACTCCAACCAAAGATAACCATATTAGGTGCAAGTGAAATCGGCCAGCATATTTGGCCATATATTTTGGCAAGTTTTTTTTCCAAATTGTTTTTGGCAAAACCTGTTTGTTTATAAATTTTATTCATATTTTGGCGGATTTTTGAAAATAAATTTTCAAATCTCAAAACTAGTTCTAGACCTATTTTTGGCTCAAAATATTATTGTTGGATTTTTTAACAATTTCAAAAATTATCCCAAACTTTTGTATTTTATAAAAAAACCCACCATATAATATGACTCAACTAATCCACCAGCTAGTTACTATCTTCTTCTTTTTTTGGATTGATGGATCTTGTAATATTATTGTAATTTGACGAATTGTAGTAGCTAGTAAGTGTGTTATTAGCAGTTGATATTAAAATATCAGGTTATGGTTTTAGGATAGTGTATTATGTAGTTCATAATAAAAATGATAATTTTGTGCCAAACTTATCTATATTTAGGACTATGGTTTGTGATAACGATAATGAATGATATCGATTAAGGTTCTGCATTTACATGATTAGCCAGTTTGTTTGTTTGGTATTTTGGGTATTTTTGATAATTTTTAAAACTTGGGTATAAGACTATGTTTCATATTATTTTTTTTAAAAAAGTGAAATATATTTTGAAAAATGATGTCCAAACAAATTTTAATCGGCAAACCAAACTTCACCCAAATCAAATTTTTTAAAATAAATTTGAAAATTTATGGTCTAACACTAGCTTAAAGTCTACTAGCAACTTCTAATTTTGTTTTTCTTCCAAAACTCATGCAATTATTGGCTCGACAATCCTTATTCAAATGTTCAATAATTTGCCCCCGGACATTCTCAGCTGGTTCTTGCATCTTAATGTAGTTATGCATTGCCATACCAAAGCTAAACCAAGTAATAACTATCCAAACCCAAAAACTTTATGTTGTTACTATCACTTTCCCATACTCGACAATTCACTCCTCCTGGACTTTGGACATTTGGTGAGGAGCATTTCTTGAGGGAGAGAGAAAGTGCCAGATCAACCAAAGTCATGATTCTAGAGGTTTAGGATAGGAATTCGCAAAACTCAACCCAAAGATGCTAAATAAGGGCATTAATTGTCCTGCTAACTCTGTTAAGCAAGAGGACCCCTACTGGTATTGACGGACCTGTTGCAATCCTATCAAGTCTACATGACGTTACTACAAAATTCTCTATATCAACACTGCAGGGAAAAAATTCCAGAGAAAATAACCTGTTGACAAGCAAGCCAGAAACTGGAAAATAGAGACAGCTGTCAATAAAATTCTGCGAGAATGTTAAGAAATGGAACTACAATTCTTTTCTATAAGAGGAGCAGTTCAGCCCCGAATGCAAAATGAATTGAGCACAACTTTATCTGACTGGGTAAAATTTCGATCTCATAAGATCTAGGATATGCATTAATAATTACATTAAGCATTTGAGTATCTGTCGCTTCTTTAGTCAGCAAGCAAGGATATATCAATCGTAACATTCAAATCAACAAAATAATAGTCATGATCAGAAAAATGACAGAAAATTCACACCTTGTCGGTGGGGATTCGAGTCTCAACTCAAAGAATCCAAGATTGCTTCAGTAATGTAATTAAATATACTCATCCACTCAAGACATCTTTTGCCTCCAACTGGAGGATACAATTGTCTAGAGGGAAGTACATTGTAGCAGTTCAAATTCTTCAAAATAGCCCAGCAAATGAAAAGACAAACCAATTGGTTCTTCCCTTTTATTCTAAATAACAGATGAACTCAGAGAATCCACGCCACAGGGGGGTCCAAAAACCGCTCATGAAGCCAATTAGTAGCCCCAGTAATCGTTTCGAATTTCATCATCGAATTTCTTCTTTAACTCAGGATGCTTCTCAAAGTATTCTTCTGCTGTCATGGTACTGAGTTTTTTCTGTAAATCAACACAGAGCAATGGTTGAATACACACATTGCGGAAAAGAATGATAAATTGATATGTTCATATGGAGATAAAGGAAATAAGGGGCAACTCTGCATCACCTTCAACTCTTGGACTTCAGCAACTTCCTTTTCTAATCTTTCAGATTCCTTGAGAGATTTCTGCTCGGCTTCTTTCAGTTCCACCAACTGCAGTTTAGTGCAACAAATTTTTTTTAGCATTAAAGCTTTTAAAACATGTAACAATATAAGCGGGCACACGATCATAGGTGCCTATCATAAGTATGAATCTGATGACAGCCAATTGAAAATGTAGATTACAAACACATAATTCACAAGATGATTCATGTATTGTTATCAGTTATCACTTTGCTTAATGCGTTCAACCAACTTTGCAAGAATCGGTTGATCCCTTTCTGTAGTGGTTAAACTACAGACTACCCATTAAGATTTCAAATTAGCACAAAAGTAAGATTTCCGATATTAGCTCAATTGATAAGACTATCTTACAACTAATTATTCCGCTAGTATAACAACAATAGTACAATAATTAGGAAAACAAAATAGCTATTGCAAGAACAAACAATCAGGGAAGAGGGGGGTAGTATTGTGATTTTCCTTACCAAGGCATCAAACTTGGGTTTGTATTGAGGAGTAACTGTGTCCTCAAACTTGGGGATCTCAATGCCTACAAGACAACATTGTTCAAACCAATAAGTCTAGACAAAGAATACCTTAGCTTGAATGAGAATAACTTAACATACATAAGTGATCATAGTTAACAGACTTCAGATAATTGTAATTGAATCTTTCAATCTATACCAGGCATGAACTGCATAGATCCAATAGTGATAGAAGGAATCACATAGGAAACAAGGTTGTCTAGACTTCAGAATCAAAAAGTTCAACCGATTAAAATGAGAATTGCAAGGAGACAGGTAGGTGAAATTCATACAACTTTAAGGACTGCCAAACTTCTATTTGTTATTCTTATATAACAGGAGCAGGAAGACAGGAACAAGTCCAACAATGACAAGAAATACATCGGAAATGGTTTTTATGCTCCAAGAAAACTACTAGCAAGTTGCAAGCTGATATTTAATTTTGTTAAGGCTTTTATTAATTCAACCTCCACAGCAGTGTCAGAGCATACTGATCACTCCACATCCATTCAAACACAAGAATTGTAATTTATTGTTGACAAGAATGCAGGTAAAATGTGTATCCAAATGGTATAATTGAACAAGAGGATAAATGAACAAGACCTAGCAAGAATTGCAATTAAGAGGGAGGACAAGAGAATAAAATTGAAATTGCTTTCTTTTTTTTCCCATGCTTCATCCGGGCACGGAAAATCTAAGGTTCTTATCATGCTGGAGGACATAAGTATTCCAACAGGTGCTATGGCATTTCCAGAAAATTCCCAATGAGATCAGAAAATTGCAGTAGATTGGGTCGTTGTTGGTCAAACAGAGTGAAGTTTTGAATTAATGAGGAGTTTAACTTATCAAAAGAAAAAAAAAATGAGGATTTCAAAGATGAAATGGAAAAACAGTGTAAAACGCTGTCGTGACGCTGGTCAGTGGTCAGTGAACCAGATATACAAGAAATCTAGAGCTCATAACATTAGCTGGATAGAAACATGCAGCTGCTATTGGTTATACCAGCTATTAATTTTTGGTTCGTTCAATTTTTAAAAATTATGAATTGGTTTTCTAGAGTGAAAGGTTTTATGGTATCCTTGCAGTTGGATTGGGATGTCTCGTTTCTTTGGGTCCAAAACATATCTGGAAGTATTAGAAGGAGACCCAAGTTTTAAACGAAACAAAACTTCAGAATTTTGCATCAGACCTTAAGTTCAGAGCTCTTTATTAACTTCAACTCCCCCTCACCCCGCACTAGCTACTTAAAGCATAACGTTTCAAGTGTACTACTCTCACGTTGACAGCAATCAAGATTTTCTCAACTGTGCCAAGTTACCAAAATTGCGCCTGGTGGAATTGACAGCTACACAAAGATATAAAGTCATTCACATACTTGGGACAAGTACGGAAGAAAAAATCTTCTTAGCCAAGAAAACCAAAGTGATAAACCTGGAATACTTAGAACAAGTTTAAATTTCAAGAGTACACTTGGTATTGTGACTTAACTTTCACGTTACAAGATATCCCTTTTGGGGTAGGCCGGATGAAATGGAGACTAGCTTCCGGTGTTTTGTGTGACAAGAAGGTGCCACCGAAACTTAAGGGTAAGTTCTACAGAGTGGTGGTCATATCAACGATGTTGTAAGGGCCAGAGTGTTGGCCAGTCAAGATCGCCCATGTCCAGAAGATGAAGGTAGCAAAGATGAGGATGTCGCGATGGATGTGCGGGCACACCAGGTTAGATAAGATCAGAAATGAGGTTATTCGCGACAAGGTGGGTGTGGCTCCTATTGAGGACAAGATGCGGGAAGCGCGGCTTAGGTGGTTTGGGCATGTGAGGAGGAGGAGCACAGACGCCCCGATGAGGAGGTATGAGAGGTTGACATTCGAGGGACTACGGAGAGGTAGAAGTAGGCCAAAGAAGAGGTGGGGAGAGGTTATTAGGCAAGACATGGCGCAACTTCAGCTGACCGAGGACATGACCCTTGATAGGAAGGTATGGAGGTCGAGGATTAGGGTAGTACAGTAGGTAGTCTAGAGTGTTCATAACAGTAGGATTGGCACGTAGTCTCGCTTTCTGTTGGTAATAGGTTTTTATGACTAACCGTTGTTTTCTTTCATTGATCACCTTACTATCTTGTTGTTTTTATTCTACTTTTATATGACTTTTTGGTACTGTCTGTTCTTGTCTATATTTTCATTAATGTGGTGTGTATGCTTTCCTGAGCCGAGGGTCTATTGGAAGCATCCTCTCTATCCTCACAAGGTCCGTAAGGTCTGCGTACACACTACCCTTCCCAGACCCCACGGTGTGGGATAATACTGGGTATGTTGTTGTTGTTGTTAGTTCCCAGGAACAGTTCTATTTGTAGATGATTCATGGCATAAACCCCAGGAATTATCAAGTTCTGGCACCTGACTTAACCTTAATTGCTCTAAACCTTCGCTACTATGGAGTAATTAGCCACCAGCACGAATATTTAGCTTTTAATTTAAAAAATCAAGTTGTGGAACCTCGAGAAAATATACTAAAGGCCCATCTTTTATGATACATGACAGGGTCTATAAATGTACCAGAAGAACAGGTAAGCAGTAAACATTAAATATGAAAACTTATAAAAGAATAACAGACTTTATGAAATAACTGTTCCAGCAGAAAAGATAGTTAAAAGTCTCCAAGTTATACAACGCGTGAAAAGACAAATATAACCAAGCGAGCACATATTATTTTGGATAATCTTCAATTCTTTTATAAAAGAGAAATCCCCCGAGGAACAACTAGGTCACGGTTTGAAACTCGGTAGATAATCCCCCCTCCCCCACCCCCCAAATCATTTTGAATAATCTACATCACATCAAGAGAATGGAAAATGATCACTTGTCTCACAAACGAAAGTGCACAAATACCGCACTCTAGAAAAGCTTCATCCTTCGCAATTACTAGTGATGACCGTGCATGTACAAATTGCCACACTAAAGTCCAACACTCTCACGAAGAGTCATCCTTCAACAAGTATTTTTAGGGAAGTGTTCGGAAAATATGCGAGAAGAGTTTGACATTTTCTTTTAGGTGATGATTTGATTATTTCCCATACAGACCCAAAGGGAACTTTTTAAAGGGAAATTGGACAGTATATGCTGCATATCTAATGTGCACGTTACAGTAGATTCATCAACTAATAAAGTTCTTACTCAGGCATTTTCAAAAAGACGATTATAGCAACAAAAAATCATCAAAAAGAGCTGTAACCAATATGAATTGGAAAGATTTACTTGATGAGATCTAAACAAAGATCAGAAACAAGAAATCATGTGCTTATCTTAACTAGACAATCCCAAAAAGAACTTTTATGGTCAACACTTCTAACTCAAACTCTTATAAATGCTTGGATGTTATGACCAAAGTGACTACTCCACCAAAGACAAAGTAAAGAAAAGATTGTAAACACAAAAAGAAATTTGATGTTCCACATACTTTCATAGGCCTCTTTGTACATGTCTACCAAGCGAGAACCAATTCCTTTCCTGTAATATTCCCAGTTTATGGGCTCAGGCTCCTGCATGATTAAGAAGCAAAGATCCCTTAAGCATTAGAACTCTAAATTTATCCATGTCCCAATCAATTACACATATATTAGAAATGCCTGATTACTCAAAAGTGTAACAAAAACCAGAAACCAATGAGAAAATCTACCAAAAAAAATATAATGATTAATCAGTAACAATACACTACTCCATGTATTAACTTTTATCAGGGAATATTCTAGTGGTTAAATCTAAGTCAGAAGTACCACTAGTCAAAGCTGCAAATTTTATAAAAGACTAAAAGTTTTTAACATATCCCAAGATAGATTTAACTCAAGCAGCTTTCTCCAGTATGAAAATTCTTATTTGCATCAACAAATCCAAAATTCTTAGAATAGTAAAGAGAAAGCTCATCGAATTTTTTTCTTCTACAGTAAGAAAATGGCAGAATTGATAATGAACAATTGGAAACACAAAGGTCCTTCCCTATGCAAAAAGTCAACTGAATTATGGACAAGCAAAGTTAGCCTATACAAATAAGAATTATGAACATTGTTTAACAAACACCAAACTCAATTCAACAGACAAGTTTGCAATGTTTAGTTAAAAAACAAAGAAACACGAAAATAACATTCCAAATCATACCACAATCAATTCCAGCAGTCCAATTTAATCCTTCAACCNCCCACACACACAGAGCATTTGGCATGGGCTGAACCTAGTAGCTTATGCTCAAACAGTGTATTTATGTTAAGAAATTCATATGTACAAATATTAAATTTCGAACCCAGTTACTAGCATTTAAAGTCGTCATTTCTAAAATACAGAACCCATAAAGTTAAATTCCTGGTTCCACCTCTGGCTTTTATTCAATCAATCAATCAATCAACTAAGCCTCAATACCAAAAACAATTAGGACCGCTTTACAACCCTCTAAACCACAAGTCTCCAAAGCTCAAACACTGAAGGACAAATCTCTAACCAAACTAAAAAGCACATTTCAATCAAAATACGATCCGCCTTAGAACACTAGATACATTAAATCAACATTTTTTTTAACAAAAAAATTAAACAAACTAAGCACAGATCCGACAGTGAAACCCTAGATCCACATAGAAATACGTATATATAAACAGTGAAACAGAGAGAAAATAATAAATCACCTGGCTGAACTTGGTCTGGAGTTGAGAGTTGACATCATCGAAGGCACGGCGGAGGTTAGAGAACTCCTTGCGAGCTTCATCGGTGACCAGAAGCTTCGCCATTCCTTCCCAATCAATAGTCCTACCGGCCTTGAATGTAACGTCGGCGATCTTCTTCCCCACTCCGCTCATTTTCGATCTCTTTTTTTCTCTTCTCTCTTCGGCAGCACAAATGTGAAGCTCGTTTTTTGCTATCGTAATCTTTCGGCTGTGTTTGTTCGATATGCCTACCCAGGGCTTCCCTATTCTCTCTTTTTCTTTTACCCCTTCATTTTTACTTTTAACTGCGCTTTCCTTTTTTTCCCCTTTTTAGTAGCATGGGATTTTATTTTATTTTTCTTCGATGTAATGCTATTTATTTATTTTTCTCTGTTTTCCAATATACATTTTGAATTATGTGTTGGACCAAAAAATATAAATCTTGGTTCAAATAATTCAATTTATATAAATGAGGGTTAATTTTAGCCAATAATAATATCCCTAAGATGGAATTCTTGAAAAAGCAACAAATACTATGTAGATATGGTCGGACAATGGCGTTAGCATGCAATAAATATTCTAGAAATGAAATGTAATAGTATAGCATTCAATATCAAAGAATAGCAATAAATGGCATTTAAGTAAATAGAATGAATGAGTTACCCAACAAAGGATGGATAAGACAAGAATAACAGACAATCCCCTGAATAATTGAGTTATTCTCATATCTAGTGGAAAAATATAGACAAGAATCTCGGTGAAAAGGTGATGTTTGTATCTTAGTAATGAGACATGATTCTCTTTCTCAAATCAAAGTGTGTTTTCTTACAAATGATTATCATATGTCCCCTATAACAGTATAACTATGTCTCTTTCTATTTACACGGAACATGTTCCTAAAAACCCTAATAGTACAAGTGCAGAGAATATTCACTAGAATATTCTCCATTAAGTCCTATTTTAACACTAGCCGTTATAACGCTGTCAAACATGCTCGGCTTCGTCCTCGATGATGTCTCCTCGACTTCGATCTTGCTGACTCATCGACCACGACATTTGCTGATAATCAGATTACTTCGTCGTGGTGCCCTAAGAATGCTTTACTGATATTATTTCGACCAAAGATGAATTTTGGCCCATACGGTTAGTCCCTCCGCTTATCGAGGTCGTTCCTGCTGACGAGGTCAATGAGCGGACAAGGTCGTTCGTGATACGACTCTACGGAGTTGGCTGGGGTCGTGGTCGTGGAAATAAGGCTACGTGGCCTTTTGAGGTCCGCATATTTTGAATTCCTTGAATTATCCGGGAAGTCAGTTGGAGCCATCTGATCCATGAATGAAGGTGACGTCATGACATCATGCGTCATAATGACGTCGTTTCCCGATGCATTGCATCGATTTAGGTGTGACCCCTGATTGGCTCTATCATTTCGTTTTCTGTGCTAATCATGACCTGTCATTTCGATCTTGGTGCCTCCCAAACCTTATAAATAGGAGAGGGTTTACTAATTTTGGAACTTTTTCAAACCTTTTCTCATCTTCAAGCACTAGCTTCCCCTTCATCCTCTTTGCAGAACCCTTCTTACTATATGTTTTTGCGATTCACCTTATTCATTATTCCCTCTTGCTTGTCACTTTCTCTCACTATATTGGATCATGTCTAACGTACCTTCTGAGGTTGGCTAGGGGAGTCGCGTTACCCCATTGGCAATGGTGTTCCCTTCTCGTGGAGAGAGTGTTTCTACCTTCATTGAGGATGAAACTTTCCCGTCGGTGGAGAAAATAGTGCCATGCAACCCTGACTCCAAATCCGATTTTACCAAAGCCCCTTAGGTTGTACCTAGTGATTTTCGACCAGTGATGACGCTAAAGGAGTTGGCGGAGCTTAAGGCCAAATTTGGCCTTGACGCTCATGTCGAGTTGATTCTCGTTGTGGGAGATGCGGTGCAGATTCACCGTCCCGGTTATTGTGCCATCTACGCTTATCCTTTTCAATTCGGCTATTCCCTTCCTCTCCTACCATTGGTCGAGTAGTTATGTCGTTACTATGACGTTTTCCCAATTCAGCTTGCATCGTACGTTTATAAACTTATATAAGATTCTTACCAAATTTATCGAGCTAGTCGGGGTCGAGTTGACACTTTGGCACTTAATATATTTGTTCGCCCCTAGCTTTTATAGGGAAACGATGTTGAATCTTTCCCACCGAAGGGGAAAGTACTTGGTGGTGAAGATGAACGATAAAGTCAACCGTCAATTTTGTTTCAACTTCATTTTTGTCAGAACTGAGATGGTGGCCAATGTCGACGGTTTTCATGAGGCTTGGAATTATGCTTGTAAGTACCTAATTTTCCTGCTCGTAGGTATCTGATTTTTCTCGTGTGCTTGGTCGTGGGTTTTGACCTCTTGTCTTATTCTCATACAGCCAAGACCTCGTATCCTCCTTTGGTCGCTCACATTTCTGACTGGGTCGATCGGCTCCTCTCTCACATCGTAGGGATTCGTGAATGGCTAAGTTTTTTCAAGAAGTTTGGGCTTGCTCTCCCTTCAACTAGTAAGTTCTTTTTACCATCGGTGTCTTAACTCTCTTTTTTTTGTTTACCTTTGATGACCATTTCCTTTCCTTGTGTTTTCTTAGCTTCGGTCAAGGGATCTTCGAGGAGGTCGAGAGCTCCCGCACCCTCGTTTCGGAAGAGGAAAGCTACTATGTCCTCGGCTCCTGCCCCTGCCTCGATTGTGGCTGATCCTACTATCACGACCCAAACTCCCTTCGTATAACGTTGTAACGGCACCTAGTCTCTACGACTAGGTAAACCTAACAAATTGCGGAAATATAACAAAAACGAAAGTAAAACTTGGCAACTAACAGCAGTGGATAACTAAATAACTAATAACAATGTCGCTCGGCGTGCGCAATAACTAATACTCTATAATACACAGTTTTTCCCAAAACCCGAAACATCGTAAGTCACAAGCTACAGAAGAAAACTAGTATCTCTATACACCAGAGTCTAACAAAAGAAGTACGGAAGGTAAATGACATATGAGAGAATATAAGGAGACTCCGAGGTCTGCGGACGCGACAGATGTACCTTGAAGTCTCCGTACAACAGCAAGTACTCTCAGCTAGTAGCGGGGCTGATAAGAAGCACCTGGATCTGCACACAAAAATATGTACAGAAGAGTAGCATGAGTACACCAAAACAGTACCCAGTAAGTGTTAAGTCTAACCTCGGTAAAGTAATGACGAGGTCAGATCAGGCCCACTGGTATATAATAAATAAAGCAGGAAAATATAACAGTGTAATAAGAGACTGGAATTTAACAAAAAGGAAACACAGTGATATAGCAATGCAACACACATGGATAAACAACAGGGGATCTCCCGAAATACTATCTCGTAGTCCCATATTAAATATGCAGGGAGAACTCCCAAGGTACCGCCTCATAGTCTCAAAAGTAAATATACAGGGAGAACTCCCGAGGAACCGCCTCATAGTCTCAAAAATAAATGTGCAGGAAGAACTCCCGAAAAATCGCCTCATAGTCTCAAAAGTAAATATGCAGGGAGAACTCCCGAGGAACCGCCTCATAGTCTCAAAAATAAATGTGCAGGAAGAACTCCCGAAAAATCGCCTCATAGTCTCAAAAGTAAATATGCAGGGAGAACTCCCGAGGAACCGCCTCATAGTCTCAAAAATAAATGTGCAGGAAGAACTCCCGAAAAATCGCCTCATAGTCTCAAAAGTAAATATGCAGGGAGAACTCCCGAGGAACCGCCTCATAGTCTCAAAAGTAAACACACAGCTCAACCGATAAATACCATAGTTAACGACAAGAATTCTACAGTTAAGACTGATAAAGAACAAGGAAAAATAAGAAATCAACTAGGCATGCTTCACATAATTCAAATAAGTAGTTAAAGCACGTAGACATGTGATATTAGGCTAATCAGGATAACTACGCATGTTGGAATAGCTCAATTAAGAATGAAAACAGACTAATACTCATTTAAACGGTATAACTCAGATTAAAGGAAAAACATATTACTACTCAGTAAAATAAATTGGGTTTTTCAACAAATAGCCCGTGTGCGTGCTCGTCACCTCACGTACACGGCGCTCACATATCACGACAATACCAAATCCTAAGGGGATTTCCCCCACACAAGGTTAGGCAAGCCACTTACCTCAAATCAAGCTCAATCAATCGGTAACAATGCATTTTCTACAAATATCCGACTCCAAATGGTCCAAATATAGCCAAAAATAATTACATATCATAAATACAATTATAATATACTAATCTAATTAATGAAATCAAGACTTTAATAAAAATTTCGAAATTCGTCCTAAAAAGTAGACCTGGGCCCATGTCTAGGAATCGCGTAAAAGTCACAAAATATGAACACCCGTTCACTCACGAGTCTAACCATACAATAATTACTCGAGTTCAACCTCAAATCACCTTCCAAAACTCGAAATTTTAGTCTATGAAGTTTCTACCATTTTTCCCCAAATTTCTAACTCAAATCCCTAATTAGACGATGAAAATAGCAATAGATTCATGAAATATAGTCCAATCCGAGTTAGAACCATTTACCCCAACAATCTCCTTGAAGAAATCTCGAAAAATCGTCTCACATCGAGCTCTCAAACTCCCAAAATCGAAATGGGTAATCAACCCTCGAATTCCTCTTTTCTTCTCAGTAAACTCATTTCTGCGAGCCTTCAACCGCACCTGCGGAAAAATCCATCGCATGTGCGAAAATCACTAAAGAAGGTTGGGACCACATCTGCGGCAAGGGGGCCGCATCTGCGTGTGCGCGCCTGCGGAGCACTGTCCGTTTCTGCGGTCATTCACCGTGCCTGCGGTTCCTATAACGCATCTGCGGAAATTCCCTCGCACGTGCGATCCCTAGCCACACCTCCAATCTCCACTTCTGCGCTTTGTGCGCCGCATGTGCGATCCCGCACCTGCGGTCTCCCCGCCGCAGGAGCAAAAACACCACATGCTTGAAGACTTCAGCAACAACACCAACCCACTTTTGATCCGTTAAGCACCCGAAACTCACCCGAGGCCCCCGAGACCTCAACCAAACATACCAACCAATCCTAAAATACCATACGAACATAGTTGTGCACTTAAACCACATCAAACAACGCTAAAATCACGAATCATCCTTCGATTCAAACTTAAAGAACTTGAAACTTCCAAATCCGATAACTGATGCCGAAACCAATAAAACCACGTCTGATTGA